TCTTCCTGGGTCCAGTTATGGAAGTGAGCACTTTGGGTTGTAGCTGGGGCCTGAGTAAAGCTGCTGATTAAGAGTTTCAGCAGAAAAACTGGTCCTGTATTTTACTTACAACTCTACGTGAGGTGAAGTGAGGCTTTCAGACCTTTGTTTCGAATACAACAAATGCAGCAAGGTAGTCCTGTTGTCTGTGTTCATGGCTGCAATTATTTTACCTTTCTGTTCTTGCAACAATTTAATTTTGTAACACTTATTGGCTTGGAAGGTACATTCATCCTAGGGGTTTTTTTTGCATTTTGTGCTGTAAAAGGTCAAAATTGTCAGGAAAGATTTATTTTTTGGGGGAAAAGGAGTCCAAAGTAAAATAATCTTTCTGGAATAGAAAGGGAGGAGAAAGCACAAGCTAAAGCCCAGAGCAGCAGCAGAAGCAACGTGTTCCATTTCATGCTTTCTGATTTATGGGGCAGTGGTACCTGCTGGCCCTGGTGAGCTCTGCAGGCAGGCACTGGCCTTGTTGCACATGGTGTGATGAGAAGGGAGTTAAACTCTCCAGGGTATCACCAGCCGTGGTGGCAGTGGTGCCACCATGGCTGAGCAGCCCCTCTCTGGCTGCATCCCCACCCAGGGGGCTGGCAGCCTGTCCCCAGCCCCACATGGAGGTCCCCATGGAGGCAGAGCCTTGCAGGCTGGGGGTCCCTGCCCCCTCCCCCAGTGCTCCCTTATCTCCCCCACCCCCATAGCACCCAACCCTCAGCACCCGTTGGTTTGAGCCCCTGGGCCTTCCATGCCTGATGAGGAGCCCATGGATGCCATGAATGGTCCCTGCCCTGTCACAAAGCCAGAGCTGTGCTGCAGCACCTCCTTCTAAGGCTGAATTAACAAAGTACAGAACTTCACTCAGCCTGGAGCTGCTGCAGCCCAGCTCGGGGGGCTGGGGCACAGCCAGGCTCACACCCTGTGCTCCCAGGCCTTTGTGCTCTGCTGCCCCCACACCCCCTCTGCCCGGCAGGTTGGCTCACACCTACCCCCGCTCACCCCAAAGCCCACCTGCCTCCCCCCACTGCCCTCCTGCCCCGTACCAGCCCCGGGCCCTGCTGGCACCCCTGTGCCCCAGCTTATCAAGCCCAGCCTGACGCCAAAGGGCACTGCCTGTGCCCTCTTATTGTCTTTCTACCCCTTTCTTTATCTCTTTCTGCCCTGCCTTTCTCCACACATTTTTTCCTTTTTGCTCTTCCTTTTTTTTTTTAATCCTTTGTCCTTTTTTTTTTCCCTTTCCTTCCCTTGTCCCCCCCCCCCCCCGCCCCTTTTCTCCCCCTTTTTCCTTTTCCCATCGTGTTGCCACGTGCCCCTCCCTGCCCCTCTTTGTGTGTGGGATGGGGTTTTAAACTATTTTTGGTATGTTTTTGTTGTTGTTATTGTTCTGATTTTGTTTTGGGCTTTTCTTATTCTTTATTTCAGTTTGGTTTTCAGGTTTTTTTGGTTGGATTTTTTGGGGTGGGATTTTTGTGTGTGTGTGTGTTTTGGGGGGGGGGTTGTGTGTTTTTTGGGGTTTTTTTGGAGCACCCAACCCCTTTGCGGGGTGTCGGGGTGTGTGTGG